TACGCCAGCGAACCAGCTAGACATCACTGGGCAATAGCCCAGAGCACGGACCCCGATACCGCAGTAGTTTACGACCACCTGTTAAACCGGCGACACCGTCCTACGGACGATGAATTGCGTGGGTCGTCAGAAGAAGCACATACTGCGGAGCCAATGGCCACGGCTGCATATCGACGAAGATATCCTTCTCATTAAGGACGAGAGCACGAAAACCGACAGAGTAGTAGTACCAGGCAGCCTCATACACGGGGTCCTCACGGATCTACACAACGAGTTAGGCCACGTCGGACAAGCCAAGACAGAAGCCGCCACTCGGCAACGATTTTGGTGGCCCCATCTACGAGAACACGTCGCCACCTTCTGCAATACATGCACCACGTGCGCGACGTTCAAGGCACCTAGACAACTCCCACGTGCACCGTTGCAACCCATGCACACTAGCTTTCCGTTCCAGCGGCTGGGCCTGGACATCCTCGGGCCCCTCCCCTTTACGACAACCGGTCATCGGTTCATACTGGTGATGGTGGATTATTTCACCAAATGGGCAGAGGCTGTGCCGCTATTACGACAGGACGCAGTGTCGCTCACCAACGCAATCTTTAACAACTGGATTTGCCGGTTCGGTGTTCCGTTGTCAATACATCCCGACTGCGGGGCTAACTTCGACAGCAAACTGCTGCAAGAGGTTTGTGAACTCCTCGATATCTACAAAACTCGCACCACTCCAGCACATCCCGAAGGCAACGGATTGGTTGAACGAACTAACCGTACCTTGAATCAACTGTTGAAGGCGTTCGCGGAAGACCATCACCCCCAAGACTGGGATAAACGACTACCGTGTGCCATGATGGCGTACCGCGCTAACACACACACGTCGACGGGCTACCCACCTTTCTTTATGCTAACCGGACGTCAATTTCGCCTTCCCGCAGATTCACGGTTCCCACAACCTGCCGCAAACGAATACGCACCAGATAGCTACGTTTGGCAGCTGCAGGATTTGCTACGCTCCACCTACACACTCGCACGTAACCACCTAGGAGCAGCCGCCGAACGACAGAAAACATACTTTGACCGTCAAGTCCACGGCAACCCTTACCAACTAGGCGATTTGATTTGGCGTTTCCGACCAGTACCACCCTTAGGAACGGCGGCCAAGTTCTTTTACCCGTGGGAAGGACCATTCGTTGTTGTCGATGTCATACACCACACCACGTATGTATTGCGCGATGCTTCACGCCCCGACGGACCCACCTTCACCACCCACTTCGACAAGCTAAAACCCTATAGAGGGCGACTACCCACCGCCACCGCGGACGTAACCCCCATCATTCCCCCACATTTAGTTCCCACCCCAGTGGTTGAAGAAACAGTGGACATGACCCAGCCAGACAGCCCTGCGGACAGGGCTCCATCTGAGGAGGGGGGTATGTAAGAACCGAAAAGGCAAGTTTGTTTAAAAAGAGAGGAAGAACGGGCGAGCGGGAAAAGAAAAGGAGGCGGGAGGTTTCGTGCCGTGGTTTGAGTGCGCCTTCTCTCTGGTGTTTCAGGTGAGGACGGCGAACGTGAACAAGGAAACACCCAAAACCCCGTGGATGTCGTACCTCCGAGGCCACCCACCTGACCAGCAAGTGTTTCCTCTTCCCTCCTCCACCCCCTGAGACTTTCCACGTTCTTGATCCCCCCCTTGTCCTCTCGTTTTCGTATCTTTCCCTTTTCCAATATATCGTTCCTGTTACATTCTCTTGACTGTTCGAACCACTTCTGTACGTTGTGCAATTGTCTGGTCGTCTGATGGCAAGATCTAAGCCCAACCGTTTAGGGAAGAGGAAAACGGCCCCGTCCCCATCTCCTTCTACCGAGTCAGTCGATGTAAGTCCGAAACCAGACCCCCAACTGAAACCCCAGTGCGGTCCGCCTACTACAGTTGGTTGTCAGTCTATCTGGCCAGCTGTAAGGGGGCGGTCGCACAGTTCCGACGTATTTTTCAGGAGGCTTACCATCGTTGTCTGAACTAAGAGCTGGAAAAGATAAATATATATCAGGAGTATGAAGCATTCAATGGTAAGTCACAATCAAAACTGTCAAAATACTATTGAATCATGTATCATATTGTTCTTGTTAATGTGAAATTATAGGAGTAGTGGTTGACTGTTTACTATGACCTAATATAGTTCTATATATGTTTAATATGGCTTTAATATAGACATACGCACGACAAATATGCAGGGTTTTATCGAAGGGTATATATTTATTAGCTTTATAAGGGATATTTAGTGTCAGGTGACATAGCTGATGAAAACGAGAAAGGGAGGAAAATAGAGGAATATCATTATCTGTTCTATGTTTATCAATGATGCTATCTTTTATAAATTTGATTATTTTTAGTGCTATGTTCCGGTATTTTTCAATCGGCTGGCATCATCAGAGCCCTTTTGGACCAAATTCAATATCAAAGAACTGACTTGAAAAATGTCCTATCTTATTCAAAAATAAATGTGTATTGTTATTTGAAAGGAATTTCTTAGTTTTTATTTTAAATTCGATTAGGGTTCGACTTTTCCGGATATAACCTGGAAGAGAATTCCAGATAGTCGCATATCTTATGGTGTAGAAATTTGATCGTTGGGACTTTGTGAATTTGGGAATCTTTATAATATCCTCGCTATTTCTGGTGTTTCTAGGGGCGTTTTGGTTGGTAAGTAAATTCATTTTGAGAATATCTTGATCGTGGGTGACCTTGAATAGGAAGTTTAGACCATTTTGAAGTTTTCTGATCCAGAGTGGTCGAAGACCGTATTTATGATATAGTTCTAAGTATGAACCCTGGATGCCATCACTTCTAGACAAAGATCTAGTAAACCGTCTCTGAATGCCTTCTAGTTTCTTTCGGCCGTCTGAGGGCATTATGCCGAAGAAAATTGAACAGTAATCTAGGAGAGGTAAAACATACATTTTGAACAGTTGTATTCTTAGTGCATTTAAGGTGAAATTTTTACATATGAATCCACACAGGCGAGTGGCTTTCGGTGATATTTGTTGGACGTGGGGAGATAAATCAAGGGTATTTGTATAGCTGAGACCTAAATCTTTTACAGATTGGGTCTCTGTTATTTCATCATCCTCGAATATTATGGGGGGAAGTTTTTGTGGGCCAAATATCAGGAGATGGCATTTTTCGGGTGAAAAGGGCATCTGCCACTGACTACTCCATTCGCTGAGTTTTCTGAGATCAGTTTGAATTGTTCTATGAATATTGGCTACTGTATTCCCGTTATATGCATATGCAATTTAAAGGTCGTCCGCATATAAAAACGTCTTAGCTGAGACAGATATGGACGATAAGTCGTGAATATATATAAGAAATAGAAGGGGGCCTAGGATAGTGCCTTGAAGTACTCCACTGGTAATAGGGGATGGTTCTGAAACGACGTTTCGAATTTGCACCACTTGGTATCGGTTTTGAAGATAAGATTTAAGAAAATCAAGAAGGGGTGACCTAATTCCATGACTTTTTAGCTTTATCAGTAGTCTTTTATGGGGGACTTTGTCAAAGGCCTTTCTTAGATCGAAGTATATTGAAGCTACTGTGTTTCCATCATCTCTATTGCTGGAAACGAATTCCAAAAAAGCAAGGTGGCAGGACTGACATGACTTTTTGGGCAAAAATGCATGTTGAGAGGAGGGAATGAGGTTGGCGTTCATGAGATGGTCTAGCAATTGGTTATATACTATTTTCTCGGGGATTTTATCTATAGCTGGTGTTCGGTGAACACCACGATAGTTCTTAGAATACGTGCAGCGTTTATAATTACCAGTTTCCGTTCATAAAATAAAACCCAAGGCCTGCGATCATAGGATACATATTTCTCTTTCCGGGACACCCACTAACCACATGGGGGCGGCAGTCGTGGTCATGACAGATATGTGGTGCGGAGCGTTTGAATCAACTCATGAAGTTCGTGTGTAGGGGTAGAATTAAATCTCCATATTCCCCAGTCCCAAACGTTTTAGGTCTTCCCCAGTGTTCCGACGTTCAGCTGCGCGTGCATATGCGCTGTACTTTAAAATATGTGAATTTCCTTTTTGCGAAGAAATATTTTGAATATTTTATGATTGTAGGGATATCTATGGGGATATTTTTACGATACATTCGTAAGAGCGTGTAGACACGTAGAATACTTGACGGGTTCATGGGGTCCATCTTAATAAGGCATCGGATAATGGGAAGGTTGACACTAGCCTTACAATTACGGAGATCAACTATGAAACAAATGCCGAATCCAAACTAAAACTTACAACCAGCATTGTCACTGGCCCGTTTACCGATACACGTTACCTACTTGAATAAAAGCTTGGTAAAAAATACCGTGGAAAAGTCGTTTATGCACAGTAGGTTTTAGCTGAGTCGAAATAGCAATATATTAAAATCACAAAGGTGCGCGCCATTGCTTGTTTGCGAACCATATATAACAGTGCTTTTTTCTAGCTTTATTACCAGAATTCCACTTTAAATTCCCACTTTGCTGGCGAATATTCATAGTTAAACAAGAATCAGATTAGTTGTGACTTGTGAGTTTATAATATGCGGATAGTAACTGCTGTTAATATACACACATCACATTTCCAGGAGAGCATTTGTTATCATTTATTGAGAAAAGGGTTTCAGGGAATACCATACTACGGCAAATGCATGATAGAAATCTCTCAGAGCTGGGAAATGCCAACGTAATCTTCAATGACAAATGTTTACACTTTTCGAAAAGCAGCTTGTAGGGCGAAATGACTAATGTTGATCGTAAGTTAGGATATACACATTCTCCTTCTAAAATGACAGGCACGAATGCTGCTCTCTTCAAACGTTTTGTAAAACACTCTCACTCCTTGTTTCTTCTGAGTTTTTATTTACTTAAGCGCGGACATTTGGCGGAATTTAATACTGATTTCCTCTGCTCCTGACGACTATAACTGTGAGCCTGCACAGTTAAACGACTGAAATTTTATATGACCCTTATTCTCCTGTCTTTGCTCAGTTCAGAGACAGTGCACATCAACTAAGTTATGTGATGTTGTAAACTCTTCTCATTAACTGCCTTAAATAATGGTAGAATTGAATAAATATGACCTTCCTATTAACTGTGAACTTCGCAGGCGAGTTTATTTTAGTACCACAAACTACAGCCGAAAGACCAACTGGATTACAAATCAGAACGTCGGGTTCTTTGCGGGAGAATTGATATTGGGCGGTGAACGTACCGAATTGATTGAATTTTATGTACACATAGCTTTCTACATACAGGAAATTAGTAACATCTTTTGTCTTTCTCTGCTTTTCAGTTCTTCAGTTAGTTCGTCTGGCTCTTTGGTTAAGCATGTCCTGTGTTATATGATTTGCTTTAACGAATTGCTGAAGTCACGTCCTGTTGGTTAGTTAATTAAGTATATTACTTATTTACGGACTCTTAAGTTTTTTTAGTAAATTTCTCGAACTTATATGTCTTTGTCTGCTGTCTGCTGTTTATAGTTAATGGTTCTCCACCCCGGCCACAACTGTCGCATCAACGTTCTTCGAATTTGTCCTAATTAAAGGGGATCTCTTCTAATTAGGACGTGTTGACACGTTTGACGCTTCTGCGCAGTATTTTCCCAGAATCTCGAGCGGTTTTGAAGTCTATAAGAAAGGTTTCCTCTATGTTTTATTCTCCCACATTATCTTCCATCAGCCGTATATTCACCACAGGTGTTCGGCATAAACAGGCCGTCGTCAACCATCTTCACGCGTGAACGCTCCATCAAGATGGAACCTACACCAGCATGGGGGATACTAGACACATCAGTCCTGTTCGTAGTCTAGGTGTTCTTAAGCCTCTCCTGACACCTCATCTTTAGTTTCCTTTGGAGACATTTCGATTGACAGTTTCATCTCCACCGTCAAGTCTTCATTGCCTATTCATGTTC